CATGAGTACCATTCACAGAGAGTTGGGGAATGGCTGCAATCACAGCATTGTAAGATGGCGAAAGATGTACCCTTAGGCCCCCTCCTCGATTCAGAGATGGTCTTTCCCTTTTCACGTCAATGGCCTCCTTGACTCCGCGCTCAAACCAGCGTTCCTCCCTGCAGTCAGCTGAGACTGAAGAAGTCACATGGATGAGTGACGAAACGTTTCTCCCACAAAACGCTACGTCCAGATGAACAGAATCAACTTTTGGAGATGTATATACACAGTTTAATATTAGTACAGTAGGAAGCCACAGGAAAATGTACAAAATCCCTTCTCTTACCTGCAGCAGGAAGTCAAAAAGAGCTAGCCTTCCCCACTCTGAGTGCTGCACTCCCACGCAGGGGGCTGACCTCAGGTCTGTTTCACTCCCACAGCGAGCTTTTAGCAGTTTCTGGTAGTGAACCCAGCTGAGCTGTATTGAGTTCTGGTCATTGTCTTCATCAGAAAGGTGGTGAATATCTGGGTCCCACCACACTGCAGGTCTGGGGGTGCCATTAATGTACCTGTTGGGCAGCACGTGGCTATGAAAGGTCCTCAGAACTGTGGGGAGACTTTTGTTGAGTCCCAGCACTCTGTCCAGGTGGAAGGCGAACACTTCAATCCAGTCATCAGTGCGCTTGACCAGGGAGCAGCAGCCCTGCTGACAGCGCTCACTGTGGGTAGTTGAACGTCCACGCCCTTCTCCGTGCTGATGTGAGTCTTCCATCACGGATGGCTTCTGTGATGGATGAATACAGTTAGATAATGCTGTTCACTTTACTCTAAGACCATGCACCCATTACGATCCTATAGCCATGCATATTTAATTGTAAGGACTTCATTTATGACAAACTGAATATTTATTCAACTAGCAAATTATGACTTTTTATCCAGTAATTAAAGGATGGGACCTTTTAACATCTTTCATATATAAATGTGCCAAAGGTGGAGCTAGAGTATACATAATAATATTGTTGAATTCTTTCAAATGTAATATATTTTTCTCTTCTTTTCCATAAACAGCAGGAATCCATTAACCAAAAACCTGCTTGACTTGTGAGCACAACCATCAGCTCTTAGTTGTGTCACACACTCACTGCATGACAATCCAGCTTAATGGATGAAACTGCTGTTACTCTAGATTTTTGGTTTTGGCCACAAATCCCATGAAAAGACTGAAACAACAATAAGTTATTCCAACACTTTCATTCTGGAATTAAACTGACAAAACTGACAAATCAATAACACGACTTTGTATAAAACAAGCAACCCTGAGACAGGCAGTTTCCCCCAAGTAAAGATGGGCAGTAGTTCACCAAAACAGCTTTGAGTAATACTCAACATAAATTTGTGAAGGCTTTATTAACACGCTAGACTTGAATATAACTGTTTAATATGGTGGACAATTTATGGTATCTACACTTGTTTGTGAAGCTCTGTGAAATATTCTCTATTGTTTTGTGATAATGTTATTATGTTTGATTTCTCAGCATGTCTTAAATCCTCTACAAACTCAGACTGTGGTCTGGCACATATTTCAGTATTCTGTTTGCACGTGTTCTCTGTCACGTTATGCTTCTGTTTCTTTTCTGTTGTGAAGGCAGCGTCCTGCTGACCTTTCAGTTTTATTTATACTTTCTGCTTTGTAAGGCTGAGGCAGTCACACAAAATACTAAACTAACAACTAGTAATCAACTGAATTAAAATATGAAATAACTATTTATAAAACCGCTTTCACCACACAAACAATAAATTCATGTCTTTATCATATTTTTTTGCATGAATGAACAAAATACTTTTTTGTATCACTTACATGGACTTTCTAAATGGCAGCACAAACCATTAAATAAATAAATAACTTGTAGTACTTACTGTAATACTTTACAGTTAATCCATCATTTATAAGTATACAGTGTTGGGAAGGTTACTTTTAAAATGTATTCCACTACAGAATACAGAATACATGCCCCAAAATGTATTCTGTAACGTATTCCGTTACGTTACTCGATGAGAGTAACGTATTCTGAATACTTTGGATTACTTAATATATTATCATGCTGTTTACAACTATGTGAATCTACTATTGCTGTGATTTATTACTGTTACTGAAGGTCCGCGGCTCCGAACCGTAGTAAAGGGACCTCTGGCTAATACATCGGGTTCCTGTAGGGCTCATAGCTGAAAACTAGCTTTACTTTGTTGTCTGGGTCAACTTTGCTAGCGAGAGACAGAGAGAGGCGTTTAAAGGCTGCTCCAACTGAACTTATTGTTTCGGAGGAAAACACGAACACGGTGTACAGTCGAGTCTTAATAGCTTACTTACAACTGGGCTCGTCAGGCACTCTTCTTCGCTGCAGTGGTTATTATTATATTTACATGGTTCCAGCTCCCGTTTCTGCTCAATGACAGCTCATACTTTTCCACTCGCCTTTTTCTCCCTTCTCGCGCTCATAGCCACATAACGTGTATGTCAGTCCATTCTCCCTGCAGCACGGACTACACTGCCTATGATGCTACATTCTTTAGAGCTATACCAGTAGCATTCTGCCTATTAGCTTAGCACAACAGAGAGAGAGAGCGTCAGCCTGTAACCATGGCAACCGTAACGCTGCCGCCTGGAACAACGGAACGTAACTGTCAAACAAAAGTCCTGACCCGCCACAATATGACACGGGAAAATACTGCTGTGTAATCAATTTATTTCAACAAAGTAACTGTATTCTAAATACCACCTTTTTAAACGGTAACTGTAACGGAATACAGTTACTTATATTTTGTATTTTAAATAGGTAACGGCGGTACATGTATTCCGTTACTCCCCAACACTGTAAGTATAACAGTGCTGGCATTATTTCCATTATATATGTGCTTATTAATTCAAACTAAACCATGTTTAGAAAGTACAAAATAAGAAGGAATGCTCTACAAATAAGTATTTACTAACTGATTACTAATGCTTCATAGTGCGTAACTATATTACAAACATTTTATGCAGTAATAGGATTATAAAGTCTTACCAATTCATCCACATTTGGTGCAATAATGAGTTTTTCCAGTGAGATGACTGCGACTGTGAGACTGAGTCAAAATATACCACAGTGTGTGTGTTCAGAGAATGAAGTGCAGCAGCAGGAGTGCTGTTTTAAATAGTTCTAGAGAATAATAGATGCTCTTTGGTGCAGAATAACATGCCTCACACAGTATCCGGCTTCGATTACACATGCACAGTGCTAAGATGCATTCACTGTTGGTTTTTGCAGAATTCAGCATCTCATCCTGTCACCCAGGCATGCCGTCACCACTGACCCTGTGTGTCTCAGGAAGTGTGACAAGGATGGCACAATATTCAAGGCCAACACAATACGGGCTGACAATCTCAAGCAGTATTCAGCTTACATCGCCGAATTACACCTTTGGCTTGTTATGGTCATATCAGAGCAGCGCTCTTTCACCTGCTTTCACCTCATCTGTGTCCGTCTGTGAGGCGTCTGCATTATGTGATTGAAAAAGTAGGAAACAGCTTTTTAACATTGAGAAGTGTTTTCAACTTAAAATTACAGTCAGCAGTACAACACACCTGCTGGTCTGCTGGAGCATCCAGTGCCACTTGGAGCACCTGTCCGTGTCCCGGCATCCTGGTCTTGCTAACCACCTCGCCCTTCGCGAGGAACTCCATCTTCTGGATGTCTTCCCTGCTGAACCAGGGAAGGCGGTGCAAGTCGGCCCTGATCCTTCTGCGGTCGCTGTCTGGGAAGTCCTGCTCTGTAAAGCTTTGACACCAGTCGATGTCATCTTCCATCACAGCGACCTCTGGTTTGGACAAAGCCTTTCTGTTGGCCAGTGATCCCGGGATCTTTTTCGCATCTGAGGGATCCTCAGAGAGATTACGGTGTTTTAGGAAATATCCAGCGGGCTTTTTAACAGCCTGCACATTGTCTGATTTCAGATTGTGTTTTGTTGATTGTTTGTGTTTTTTTAAACCCAGGTGTTGTTGTGCTATCTTTGCACTTGTATGGCTGCCATGTATCTGTTTGTCTGCATTCCTGTTTGTGTGTCTAAACCTTAATTTGGCTGCCTGTCTATCTGCAGCTCCTGTCTCACTTTCTATGGGATCTGCTGAAGCACTCTTTTCAAGATAAATGTATGTTTGTGTAGCTTGCGTTGCCACAGCACTGTGGTTGCTTGGTTTAATTCTGTGCTTTGGCAGCATGTTGTTGTCTATAAACTCTGGATGGGGACGGTGATGACTGGCTGGCTGGCTGGCGCCTGCCAGCTCTTTTCTCTTGGAGGCAATGCCTTTGCTTTTGTGTTTATTTCTTTGTATGTCAGCGTGACGTCTCTCTTTGATGCTGTTTTTGTCATTGCCAGCAGCGTCCCCGAAAGGTTTAAGTGGCACAGAATGTTTAGATGTCTCTCTTCTACTGCTGCTTCTCAAGCTCCTGCTGTACATGTGAGCGAGTGGCTGCTGGAAGCCAGCAGCTGGAAGGGGCTCCACAATCCTGTTCCTGGACCTGAACTCCCCCGTAGAACTCAGGGCCCGGGACGACCTCCAGGCGATGTGAGCGGGTGGTGAAGGGAGTGGCAGGGTGACTGTCATCACAAAGATCATGAGGAAGAGAAGGAAAAGAGGGGTAAGAAGTAGGATCCATTTGTGACCACACCGGAGTTTGGACCACACTCGCCAGGCCTGTGGTTAAAAAACAAAACCAAACACAAAAAGAGATAAAAAGAAACAGAAGTTAGAGGGAGACTGAGAGACCAATGATTATAATGGAGAGGGAACATAAAAATCAAAGATAGCATCTGCAATAAACAGACTGGAGTGCTCAGTGCTCCTGCGAGGTCTTTCTCCTGGCATGTGGAAACAAACTCTACAAGGGAAAGCTGAAAAACAATTTGATGTTGGCACACAGCTCGGGTCGGTTGCATGAGATCAGAATAGTGACCTTTGAGTCATCAGTTTACGTGAGAGGAATAATCTGGAATTTTGTAGCATAGAGCCATCAGCACTGAAACGTCCTGTCCATGCTGCACAAACATGAATCTGTGAGGAGCAGAATATAAAGAATATAAAGCTGGTGTCAGGCAGCTGCATTTTTCCAGTAGCTTACAATTGCATTGGACCTATCCAGCTGAGACCAATACAGCTGTGGCATGCCCATTGCCTGTGCCCAGCAAGGATGGAAAAGCCGTATTCCTCACAATGTGCTCTCACTGCCCCAGTACGACTTGTGGTGTTCTTGCTGAAGGCTCTGTCAAAGTGATTTTGTCGCAGAGGTGCTAGCCCTTTATTTACTGCAGACTGCACTCCTTCCATTTGCTTTTAAACAGCAAAACTATAACTCCATGACGCTGACATTCAAATAATAGAGCTGGAATTGGCCCTTCCAATGATTTATCGTCCGATTTTTCAAGGGGTTGTGTTGCAAGAAGTCTCTGTAGCAGCATTTGTTTTATTTGACAGCTCTGAGCTGAAACTCGAAATAAAATTGTTTGAGAACAGGATGGTAGCTCCTCTGCAGACAGGGTGGCCTACCAGTGGAAATATTAAGAAGCTAAGTGGCAGAGGACGCATACAGCACTTTTCCCATCAGCAAAACTTCCTGCAACTGCTGGATGAACCACACAGCGCCATCTGAATACCACACTTTCCCCCCACCTGTAAGTAAAGCCATATGTGAATGCTGCCAGGTTGACCCAGATAACTGCTCTGTCCCTGCCTGCTCTCTCGCTCTCTCCCTCCCTTTGCATCACCTTCATTTTTTTCTGCATTCAGGTGAAGGAATGTTTCAGACCCTTGAGATCTCTTCCTCATCTCAAAGCCTCTTAACAACATGCCCAGATTCCTCCACCTGTGAAAGGATTCCATTATTCTTCTCCTGGACTGGACGGCCTGAATCAGGCTGCCTGTGCTGACAGAGCCTGTACAAACTACCCAACAGTACCAGTGTGAGACTTGGAGTGTCAGACTTATATAGATATATTCATCTACCGCTCAAAGACAATTGTTAATGCTGTAGTTAACAGTGTTAAAGAGACTACAGTATATTATAGTAGCCACACATTCAGTCCAGAATTGATCAAATGTGCTACATGGAGAAATTGAATGTCACTGAATCATTAGTGTGAGACTCTGCTGAATTACTTTAAATAAATGAGATCATTACTGAGCAGACTGGCAGCGTTTACTGACCTCTTAATGCCTTTTTATATTTCACGCTAATGGATTGGATTTCACAGCAAATCTGCAGCTCGCCTGCCTCAGACACTTTCGAGCAGGATGACTGAAAACTCACCTTAACCTTCATTGTAAAGAGGTTTAAATAGTTACTCCAAATCAATAATGCAGATAAACTCCTTAAAGCTATATTGTATTTGGTCATTATCCACACATCATATTAATCCTCAGTAATGATCTCATTTATTTAAAGTAATTCAGCAGAGTCTCACACTAATGATTCAGTGACATTCAATGTAGCACATTTGATCAATTCATTTATTATCTGAAATGTTTATCTAACAATCAGATGCTATTTGCAGTCCCACAAACACTTTAATCTTTAACTGGTTGGTCAATTATTAGATAGCTTAAAAATATTAAAAATATTAAGAAATTCACAATCATAATATTTTAACTATTAATACAAATTCTCAAGTAATACAGAAATAGCTTATCTGAAATGTTCAAATTCATTCAATTTCGATGTTCTATGATGTTTTTAAATACACAATACAGATGTATGACCTTGAAACATTACACACCAAGAGGGTGCATTATATTATTTTTAACTTACACAGAACTGGTTGAAATCTTTGGCGTCTATAAGCTGTAAAAACTTGAGATTTTAAGATATATTCATGTAGTCTGTGATTTTGCAAAACTTTATGGGATCATTGTGATGTTATCGGGTGACAGATTGCACAGCACTTTAATGCGTTACTCAATATGGTTTCTTGAAATTCTTTTCAAGGTCAACTTTGACCTTAGGGCAGTACCAATGAAGGTCAAGGTCAAATGTTTAGCCAACCTAGGTACCTAGGTATGTCCCTCGAGGCCTAGTCTATTTTTAAGTTTGAAGACGATCAATAAAATATTATGGGTAACATATAGTTTTTAACCTATCCCCACAGTCCAAAGGCATGCAGTTGGTGGGGATATGTTAATTGGAACCTCTAAATGGTTGTCTGTGTCTATATGTTTGCCCTGCGACAGACTGGCGGCCTGTCCAGGGTGTACCCTGCCACTCGCTCTAAGACAGCTGCGAGGACTCCAACCCCCCGCGACCGTGAAAAAGGATAAGCAGAAGCGAATGAATGGATGAATAAAGTTTTTATTGATTTTCAAATTTGGTGGGACCTTGGCCGGATTTTCATCTTAGTTCAACCTATCACTGGTATCTACCATCACATAAAATGTGAACATATCTTCACAACTGTGGCCGTTAACCTGCTAACAAACAAAACTTTTTTTTTGGTCAAAAGACGAGAGTGCATCCAGAAGACAACTGCATTCTGCTGCTACAACAACTTCAGCTCTTTGCAAGCACCTACACAGAGTGATGATAAAACTGAGTGTCTGCTGACCCCAGCAGCAGCCAGAACCTGAACTTAAACAGGCAACCAAAGCAGCCATTGTTTCTAACTGTACATTTTTCTTGAGTAAAATCACTTTACTTTAAAGTCTCTTTGTGCTCGTTTCCATCTTTGATTTGTGCTGTCGGCTTTGTGTTCTTACCCTAAATACTAAAGAGAAAGATCACACGTGTCCTCATTAGGATAAGGATTTGTAATGGTGTGTGTAACTGTAGCCTATAGGTTTATATTGTCAAATGGTAATTTGAGACAGTGTGTTTCAGGTTTCAGTAAAGTACGACATAATTTTTTAGGAAAGTGTTCTGTGTAATACATTAGTTTTTTGAGTAACAACCCGAACATTAGACATTACATTCATGCAGATTTATTACATGCCGTGTCGTCATTGATGTGCTGCTCAGTGATGGTGGTGACTCTCAAAGTGGAGCCAGTGACAATCCATTGAGAATCAAATTAATAAGTGACATTCCCAGTTCCCATCCCCACTCCTGCATACAATTTATGAAGCTAAACTGCACAAAGTCAGTTTTTCAGCTAATGACTGAATTTGATTATAATACTTAACTATTAAATCTAATATGATACCTTTATAGTACCATATAAATGAACTTTATTCAAGTTCAACATTGATTCTTAATTTAGTTCCACCTTGGTCTTCTTCCGCTTCCTAAAATCTTCAGCCTGTCTGCTGTCTGCTGTCTGCTGTGCTGAGCAGGTTGTGTACTGTACAGTGGCCGTTTGAAGATTTTTCACAGAAAAAAGTTGCCTGCTACTTTGAGAAATTAAGTCTGTGAAAAATTGCTCAGTGTGATAGCGACAGTAGACTTCAGATTATAAAAAACCAAACCGGGAACTGAGAGAGATAATCATTTGCAGTGAGTGTGCCACTAAGTGAAAATACTCTTACTGTTTCTAGTCAAGTAAG